GTTGGGGTCACAGTGCAGGAGTTCTAGTTCTGATTCCGTCCCTCCACAGTTCTTTCCAGGAAGACACTATCCAATTTGTCCTCTTAGTATAAAGTCAGCTACACCACTTCCCCTCTCTGTGTCTGCTCCCTCATTTATCAAATGAAGGGTTATACTCACCTATTATTTAGGCCCTTTCTAGCTCCAAAATTTCCTTGAAATCCTGAGAAAGTGTACATTCATACTGTTTTGACTTAAGCAGTTTGGTATTCCTGCAGAGACACAAGTTCTACAGTGATTCTGAATGTTGAAACTTTAGCCCCCAATGTGATGGCATTTGAGGATGGAGTCTCTATGTGGTAATTAGAGTTAGATGAGATCATGTGGCTGGGGCCCTTATGATGGGATTAGTGCCTTTATAAGAAGGGACATGAAGGAACTTGCTCTCTGTCTTCACTCAGGTGCCATGTGAGGAAAGGTCATGTGAGGACACAGATAGAAGGTGATCATCTGCAAGCCAGAAGGCAGGCCCTCACCAGAAACTGAATCAGACAGCACTTTGATCTTGAGCTTCCCAGCCTTTACAACTGTCAAAAATAAATTTCTGTTGTTATGGCAACCTGAGCAGACTAAGACAGCAAGCATTCTCTAGGATACTCATGGTGCCTTAGCCTTGGCTATCTTTGTGTTGGAAAAAGACCCACCCTCAGGAGTCAGGGTATTATGGAATGTACCATCAAATAAGGCAAAGTGGAGGCTTCCAAAGCCTCGTTCAAATGAAGATAACCAAGATTGTCACACAATTTCATGCATTGTTAGTTTGATAGGAGCAGAAATTGCCGAACTTGACTATAAAAGTTCTTTAAATAAGTACACAGTAGATAGCTATGGGAAATGAATGACCACTTCCAATCCTCTTTAGAGTCAGGGAGGGTAGGAATTATAAAAGTGTATTAGTAAGCTTAAACAGGAAAATAGATATTTCCAGCAACAAATCCAATTCCCAGAGCTTGTCATTTTCAGCACTATAATGATTTCCATGGTATAGCTTTTAGCTCCACTGGAAATGACAATGCAAGTGTCACTCTGAACATCAAATATCGTAAGTGGCATCTTGTGCATTCTTATTCTTTCAGGAGCAATTCAAATGTCATCTCTTCTATGACTTTTCTAAATGTCATCCGAAAATGACATTTGTATGTTTTTACATTCCATGGTATCGGTACAGAATTTATTAATCTTTCCTCAGGGTTCTCATTACAACTTGGTTTTACTTTTATATAGCACTTAGCCATCATATTACTGGAAGCTGAGTATGAGCTCTCTGAGGGAATAGCTCAATAAATGCTTGAATGAATGAATGAGTTGGTTCTCTTTGTAGATGACTGATTCCTCATTTATCGCAGGCTTCCAAAGACTCTTTGACTCAAATAACAGACTGAGGCTCTCTACCTCCATATGCCCATCTATTATATCATCTATTATATGATGCTATGAATGGTAAATGGTCTCATTTATTTGTCCTTAGAATCTTCAATCAGCCATGACAGCTGCCAGGATGCAAAGCAGTAAGCTCCAAAGGTCATAGATAAGATTCCATGTTTTAAAATTTGTCCCAACTGTTGTTTTGTCCGTATTTCAAAGATTTCTTGATCTGTATTCATCCGAAAACTGTTGACAGTTCACAGCTGCCAAAAGACCACCATAACAGCATAGAATAGCATGTGGCCTAAGTTGGGATGTCTGTCCTCTTCTCTATCAGGAAATCAACTCTCCTGAAATTTATTGTCTTGATGAACTTCTTTTAAACAAAATAAGGCCAGTTATTTTGAAGATAATCCAAATGTTAAATTCAGAATAAACTCTAGCACAGCCTTCCATCAGCTCCTGAATCTACTGAGTGGCAAATGACAATGTAAGCAGATTTTATCTTAGTACCTGAATGTTTCCCTTTTGATCTTTTCTCCCTTCCTCTGACTGGCATCTAGGCCATGTTCTATTCCTTTTGAATATTGATTATGGTTGGCTTTTACCTATGTGATGCTGTCAAGGAAATATCCTTAGGGCACATAGAGTTAAATAGTTGAAGACTTCCCTAGACGTCAGTCATAGGCATATGTCATGTTGGAATGAAAATGAGTGAATCTGATCTTTAAGCAAGAATCTTGCCCTCAAATAATACCAGGTAGGCAGCTCTCCCTGGGGAAGCCATAGATGTGGCCATAACTAAAGTGACATGTGGAAAAGAGTAGAGAGATGTTGGAGTGCTGTTGAATAAGGTTCTTGGGTTAATTCATTTTTCCACTCTACCTTCACTTCTCCCACAAGTCCATATTAAGCACTTACTGTGACTTAATGCTGTCCTAAACTCAGGGTAAACAGCAATGAGTAAAACCAGGTCACTGTGCCCTCACTGAGCTTCTGATGGAAGAGAGAGACAATAAGTAAGTGAATAACTAAATATGTAATTTCAGGAAAACACTCTGGAATTGTAAAAAACAAAAATGAACAAAGAGTATGGCATTTACTCAAAAAATTAAGCAAAAAATTACCATATGATTCAGTAATTCCACTTCTGGTAATATGCCCAAAAGAACTGACAGCAAGGACTCAAACAGGTATTTGTGCACCCACGTCCATGGCAGCAATTTTCACAGTAACCCAAAGATGGAAACAGCCCAAGTATCTATCAATGGATGAATAGATAAACAAAATGTGATATATACATACAGTGGAATATTATCCAGCCCTAAAAAGGAAGTAAATTCTGCCAGATGCTATCACATGGATGAAACTCAAAGTCACTATTCTAAGTGAAATAAGCCAGTTATAAAAGGACAAATATTGTATCATTCCACTAATGTGAGGTACTTAGAGCAGTCCAATTCATAGAGACAGCAGAGTATAGAATGGTTGGTTGTTTTTTCACTATTCCCATGGGGAAATGGGAATTGTTTAATAGGCACAGAGTTTGAGTTTGGGAAAATGAAAAAGTCCTGGAGATAAGTAATGATGGTTGCACAACAATGTGCATATACTTACTGCCCCTGAACTGTATACTTCAAAGTGGTTGTAATAGTAAAGTGTTAGGCATGCTTTACCATAATAAATTCAAAAAAATTTTATATAAAATGGAAAAGGGGCTAGAGTAGAAGCGATTTAGTTAGACTTGTCTGAGAAGACTCCTTTGATAAGAGGTGACATTTAATTAGAGACCAAAGTGGTGACGAGAACATGAGACGACATAGAGAAGCAATTCTGGATTTTGTTCTAAGTACAACAGAACACCTTTGAAGGGTTTTGATCTGCAAAAGGACAGAGCTGATTTGCTTTTATAAAAGATCATGCTGGCTGCTAAGTGGAAAGCAGACTAAAAGGAAGGAAACCTGGGGACCAGAAGACCAATTAAGAGACTACTGCAGTTGTGTCAGGCAATCCTTCACATTGCTATGAAGGAATACCTGAGGCAGGGTAATTTATAATGAAAACAGATTTAATTGGCTTGTGGTTCTGCAGGCTGTACAAGCATAGAACCAACATCTATCTACTCAGCTTCTGATGATGCCCTCAGGGAGCTTTACTCATGGTAGAAGGGGAAGTGGGAGCAGGCATATCTCATGGTGAGAGTGGGAGCAAGACAAAGTATAGGCCGGAGGTGTCACATGCTTTCAAACTGCCAGATCCTGAGAGAACTCACTCACTACCATGAGGATAGCACCAAACCATGAGGGATCAGCCCCACGACCAAAACAGCGCCCACCAGGCCCCACCTCCAACACTGCAGTTTACATCTCAACCTGAGATTTGGAGGGCACAACAAACAAATTAGCCATCATCTAGGCTAATGACTATGATGGCTCAGGGGATGTTGAGATAATAGAGAGAGAGTGAAAAGTGGTTGAATAAGGATTACATTTGCAATGTAAACTCACCCTGACTCACTGATGGATTTGATGTGGATGTGAAGGAAAGAAATGCATGAAGGGTGACATATTGGTTTTAAACTGAGCAATTTAGTGAATGGGGCTCCCATCTCCTAAGATGCAAATGACTAGGGGAAATACTAGTCAAGGAATGACAAGGGGATATGGGGAGGCAATCAAGAGATGTCTTACCTAAAAAGTGAAACCATAAACCCGTGTCCAGGAGAGTACTGGCACATAAAAGCCCTTTATTAAATAATCATCGAATGAGTCAGTGAATGAAACCAAGTGTCCTCAGGGTAGTGCATAAATATAGGGAGGAAGAAAGGAAGAATGGAAACTAGCTCTAAATTTGACAACATCTGAAGGAGTGCATTTGGCAAATGATATGATGGTAAGGACCCAAGGCTAGAATTTCAGACAATTGGGTTCGAGTCTCAGAAAATATTTCCAAACCTCAGATTTCCCTTTCTAGGTTTTATTCCGGGACCTCTCCCTTTTTCTTCCTCCACAGGAAACGTGTTCACATATTTATTTGTCCCTGCCAGCAGACCCATAACCCTTATATCCCTGTGCATAAGTGCAAATGGATAGCCCTCAAGACAGGGAACATCCAATCAGTGAGCTCCTCAGCTGTGCGATGGAACGAGACTGAAGCCCCTCCTGCCAGTGACCACACTCACCACCAACCACTCTTTCTCCACCCCCCATGTCCACAAGCCCAGTGTTCCTACAGGAGCTGCTTGGCAGTCCAGACAAACTCCCATAAATCAGTTCCCCCAGAGGGTCTCACTCTCTGAGGACATGATTTTAACCAAGTTGGGGATAAGATTAGTTCATACCATACATTGGCTCATCTTGAACTGACCTACTAATTGCTCTTACTGAGTTTCAGGCAGGTTTCTACAGAGACTTGCAGAGCAATTGATAAGAAGAAAATCTGTTAAAAGTTGCCTTCACAACTGGGGAGGGCACAATGCAAAATAAGAAATACCTGTGAAAATGCTGTAAAATAGCTGTGGGGTAAGAGCCTTGCCTCTATTTCACATATTACTGTGTTTTCACATATTAACCACTTTTGTATTGGCTCTTCCACAGGATGGAGGGTACAGAGTCTGCCCACATCAGCTCTCTTGCCCATTTCTCTTCCGGCAAAAATTACACCACCGACCACCATCTGGACTAGCTCTCCAGAAAACACTGATGCAGACACTGCCTCCCCAACCAACGGCATTCACAGCAACTCGGAGTTCTCAGTTACAGCATCAACCCTGACATCTCTGCTTCCTAAGAACACTTCCACAGAGTCCACAGAAGAGATCACCAGCCCAGGTTCGAATTGGGAAGGCACAAACACAGACCCTTCACCTCCTGGGTTCTCATCAACAAGCAGTGAAGTCCACTTAACACCCACACCGGAAGAACACAGCTCGGGAACTCCTGAAGCAGGCATGGCGGCTACAGTGTCTCAGTCCCCTGCTGAGCCTCCCACACTCATCTCCCCTCAAGCTCCAGCCTCATCACCACCCTCATCCCCATCAACCTCACCACCTGAGGTTTTTTCTGCCTCCATCACTACCAACCACAGCTCCACTGTGACCAGCACCCAGCCCACCAGAGCTCCAACTGCACCAGAGTCCACGACAGAGGAGTCCAACTCTGACCACACACCCACTTCACATGCCACGCCTGAGCAAGTGCCCCAGGAGAAAACACCCCCAACAACTGTGTCGGGCCACGTGATGTGTGAGCTCATAGACTCAGAGACCACCACCACCTTTCCCAGGGTGATCATGCAGGAAGTAGAACATGCATTAAGTTCAGGTGAGACTCTATCCAGTCACTAGTTTTCTTTACTTCATGCACCTGTTAAGAATGCAGTTCAGTGAACCAAACACAATGAAATAAGTTCGAATTTTGGAGTGTAACGCCTAAGTTTAATTATAATTCACAAGAATTTCCACAAGAGTGCAAACTTTATTTTTAGTCACTTAATTTCCACAAGTCACTGTGGCCAATTGTACTTTTAAGATTTGTTTTCACAAGTCATAGTGATGCTACAGGGAATGAAACCGCATGAGACCAGATAAAGGGATTAACAGCATGGCTTTGGTCAAGCCTCCTAGGTTTCAATTCTGGCTCCTGACCTTGGACAAGTTACTTAACCTCTCTGTGCCTTTATTTTTCTGCATCTGTAAAATGGAATAAAACAGGTTCTACTGTATACAGTTCTTGTGGAGATTAACTGAAATGACATAAAGCAATTAGAACAGTTCCTGGCAGGGAGTAAATGCTCAGAAAATGTCAGTTGTTATTATTATTCTGCTCATGTTTTAAAGTGGTGTTTCCCTTTTGGAAACCAGTCAAAGTAGAGTAGGAGTAGAGAAAACTTGATAAATTTTTATAGTCACTGATGTATTTCAAGGGAAAACAATAAATTTTATAAGATGTCACATTTGTTTATATTTTCCCAGTAATTCTATGAAGTTAGTATTATTTTTACCTTGGTTTGTAATCTTGGAAATTATGGTGGAGAGAAATTGAGGGTTCTTTCTGAGGTCACCTGCATCTGACATTGATGTGAAGACAGTACAGTTTTAGAGTATTGAGCAGGAAGAGGCTTTCATGGGAGCATTTGGCCACTTAGCTGAGAAAGAGTGAGATGAGAACAGCCAGAAGTCAGAGGGGAAAATGGAGCTGCAGCCCTTCCCCTGGGTGGTCCTGTGAGAGATTTGGACTAAGAAGGTTATTTCCAGACAGAACCCTGCATGGCCAGTTGGGGTCCATGGAATGGCCATCACCAATGAGAGAATTATGTCTTTTAACAAACAATTGATATACATCCACCATGAATGGAAACTGTTTGACAGCAGAGGTGGGAAGAGATAGAACTAAGATTAATGAAGATGTGATTCCTCATGGAAGAGCTCACAATTTAGTAAGGGAAGAAGTCCCAAAGAATTGCATACTTGTATTTCAAAGGTCCAGTATATCATTTAGGAGCTCAACAAGAAAAAGAAAGACCTTAGACTGGAATAAAGGAACTATTGACAAAGGTCTGGCTGGGGAAGGGGAGAACCACAGGGGATCATGATAAGGGCTGATACAGGTCAGGCCTGGGAGGGAAGGAGGCAGTAGTAACCAGAAACCCACAGGAGAGGCCCAGCAGAGTTTACCACATCAACAGGAGCAGTGACTCTTGGCTGAGGGACAAAACAATCTCAAGGTTAACCTCTCTAGAGTGAAATGAATGAGTACTCTACCCTCCCTCTCACTGCTCCTCTGATATACGGTCAGAAACCAAGAACAAGGGGACCTGCTGGTGTGTTCCATGCAGGTTGGCCTCTTGGAGGGCTGGTCAGAAAGCCACAGGGAGAAGGGTGGAGAAGGATCTGCAAGGTGAAGGGAGAAAATCTGTGAACTCCTCTGTGTGGTCCGTCATCCCATTAGCTTCCTGTTGATACCTCCAGGCCAGCACTTCAACACTGAGCTTGGATGTGTATCTTCAGTCCGTCTCTAGCCCAACCCCTACACCCTAGGTTCCCAGCGTGAAGATAACATGTCTCGCATTGGTACCTGGAGCAGAGTGGGAGTTGACTTAAGACGTGATATCTTAAGAACCATCTTCAACAAAGGGACCATCAAAATACAGTGACCCCACCTTTTTTCTTTCCTAGTTCACATCCTCACCACCACCTGTGTGTACAACTTTTTCAGTTTTTAACTGGCTTCCCTCTCTTCACTTTTTCTCCCCTTCAGGATACCTTAGACATAGCAGCTTGATTTTCCTGAGGACAAAATCTGAGCTTACCGTGCATGAATCTCTTAAGTGACACATCTCCTTCCTAGAAGTACCCTACTTTTATGGGTTGGATTATGCAGGACAGTTCTGTTCTAATATCTTGGCTTGTGTTTTAGTCTCTCTGTCTTGATTTCCTCAACTCTAGGCCAGCACGGTCAGGGGCCCCAAATTGATGGCAGTTGGCTCATAAACCTTGAAGTTCATGGGAATATTGCACACAGCAGAAACTCAGAATAAATAAGGAAAGTAAGGGAAGAAGTCCCAAAGAATTGTACATTTTTACTTCAAAGGTCCAGTATATCATTGAGGAGCTCAACAAGAAAAAGAGAGGCACTCAGACTGGGATAAAGTAACAGAATGCTTAAATGACTAGAGAAGAGACGTGTGGCAGGTTAGAGGGACATCACTGACCAGTGCACACTTCACAGAGCAAAGAGTATTTATCCTTATGATCTACTAAATCAAAAAATATTTAGAAGACCCTCTTCTTCCTGCAAACAAGTACGAGACCTATCCTTTGAGATTTTATGTTTCAAGTAGAGAGAAAGGACACTGGACAAGTAACTCTTAACATCAGTACTTAGTTTCTAATATGAGAATGGACCCTGATAAGCAGAAGGATCTTTGGGACAATGTGATAGAAACTGCTCACTTCAAAGGTGAAGAAACTGTGTTTCAGAAGTTTGAAGTGCCTCACCCAAGGTCACACGGCTCAGTGACAGCACTGGGCCCTGTGCCCAGGGCCCAGATCCCTAAGCCACAGTCAAGTCCTCTCTCACCACTCTGAATTGCTGCACTGCTCCTCTATTAGGAGTGGACCTAGCAGCATTCTGTAGGTCTGTGCTTCAGGTTACTGTTTTGAAATGCTCTTGTTTAGAGATTCTTTATGCTGCCTTTAGTAGTGGCAGGAATAACACCACATTTTGCATAGCATTTTGTCTTATTCTATGTGGGCTCACGTAGGATGTTTCTATTAATCCAAGGATTCATCCACTCAACAAATGTCTAAACATAGTCACCAATGAAGAATTCTGAAACAAGGTGAACATTATGGGAGTTAAATTTGACTAGAGACGTTAAGGAAGGGCTCCATGATAGAGAGAACAGGGAGCTGAGTTGCAGGAAATAAAGGAAATTTGGGCCAAAAGAGAGATGAAGGGGATATGGGCAAAGGGAGTTTCAGGTGCTCATTTACAAAGGCAAGAAACCAAGAGCACAATAATTAATGCTGGACACACTTGCAGTCAGAATCTACCCAGAAATTGTAAGCACTTAAACTGCTCTTGAATAATCCAGTGCTTTCCACAGTGCCATGTCTAATGGTAAATTCTTAGACCTTTTTTTCTCTTTATCATTTCAACTTTTATTTTAGATCAGTGGGTACATGTGCAGGTTTGTTACGTGGGTATAGTATGTAACATTGAGGTTTGGGGTGCAATTGACCCCATCACCCAGGTAGTGAGCACAGTACCCAATTAGTAGTTTTTCAGCCCTTCCTCCATTCTGCCTCCTGCTCTTGTATGCTCTGGTGCTTAGACCTGGTTTGACCTGACCTGCATGCCAGCAGCCTCTGACTCAGATGATCACTGCCCTCACTTATTCTATGTGGGTTAAAGCACTGTCTCCGCTCGACATTCAGGATGTGCTTCTTCACTACCTTCTGTCTCTGCTGCCTCGCTTCACTTCCTCATTTTCCTTCACTATCCAGGTCAAGCACCCCAGGTGTTGTCTGCCCTCCTCTCTCCCTGAATCTCTCCACTCTCACTCCTGAGTGGACGTCTCATGACTTTCAGCATGCTGATAACATGGAGATGTAACATTCTCCTCCTGTTTTGCTTCACTGAACTATAGACGTGTATAGCCAGCTGTCAGCCAACTCATCATCTCCACTGGGTGGCTCATAGGCATCTCACACTTAATAGGTCTAAGGTGAATTACTGATTTCCTCAACTCTCAGCCTGTGCTCCTTGATCATTTCCTGTCTTCTTTCAATTCTTCAGGCCAAAACCCTTAAAGCAATCCTAGACTCCTTTCTTTCTCACTTACTCTATAGTCCATGAGATCCGGGCTGATCACCTCTCACCCCTCTGTCATCTTTCACATGTGTCACTTTCATATTTCTGAACTGACCTCACTACTCACCACAGCCTTGTCCGGCAGAACTTTTCAAAACTTGGAACAGACTCTGCTGTTCATTTGCATTCACATTCCAATCACTCCCCACTCTGAATCAGAGTAAAAGCCAAAGTCTCTACCACGCCTACAAAGCTCAGCAGGATCTGAACCGCAGGGCCTTTACCCTCACCTTTTCCACTGTCACCCTCAGACACACTGGCACTGTTACTGCTACTTGAACATACTGAAAAACACTCCTGTCTTGGGGCTTTTACACTTAACGTCCCCCCTGCCTAAAACATTATCCCTCCACATCTTTAATGCCTCCATCCTTTTCATCAGTCAGGATTCTGTTTACCTGTCACCTCAGCAAAGCCTTTACCCACTCCTCCATCTGAAATAGTAACCCCCATCACTACTGATCCCTTTCCCTACTTTATTTTTCTTTTTATCACTTAACCATTTTCTGACATCATCTGATTTATGTGATAAGTTAGTGTCTGTTATCTGCTACTAGACAGAGTCAGTATCTGTTTTCATGCCACCATGAAAGCAAGGACCTTGTTTGCCAAGAGGAAGGTGTGGGCTATGCCCCCAACCCCTAGAACAGAGCCCAACACATGACAGACCTTCAATAACATTTGTTGAATACATGAATAAAAGAGCCAATCAACCAATATTAGAGAGGTTATGAGATCTCCCTGAACTTTGATCTTATCAGTAAAATGGGACGGGGTAGTATTCACATGATGGGGTTATTGGAAGTTTCAGATAAGATAATAAATTTACAGCATACGGCTATTGACCAATAGCTCAATCAATGGCTATACTTACTACTTTACTATTATTTACTATTATTACTAGTCTGCTGGTGTTATCATTGTTATTATATTTATCATATTGAAGA